ATCTCTCCTAACAAGAGAAATAAAACTAACTATATCTATAACTGCTCTTGCAGTTTTGCTAACCAACTACACTCAAAATCTAATACTTGCTCTCCTTTAGAACAAGCCATTTTTAAACTTAATGCCTGGTTCACTTTGTGAATCAAATACAATACACCTATTAATCATATTCTAACAATTCAAATCTAGGTGAGTCTTGACCACTCTAGTAGATTTAGATTATAGATAATTAGCCCAAGCACTTAGCCTTAGCTTCTAGTTCAAGCTTTTGTCTAAGCTCTTATTTTTGCATATAATTTATATTTATTTGTCTTTATACAAATTAAGTTTTTATATAGTTGATATAACTACTTATATAAATTAACCAATAAAGATATGAGCAAGGCCTCATCTTAACAACAAAAAAAAAAGATTTTATTATCCCATACTACCCTAGAGATATTAAAGTTGCTTTTACTAAAAATATTATTAATATTATTCTGTTTTAATCTAATTATTATAGATTATATTGTTATTTGTGTAGCTGTTAGATTTTATAGTTTAATTTTTTTAGATTGGCAATATTTTTTAGCACTACTTATTTTTGTTTTTAATGTTTTTTTTGTTTCAATATTAACTTTTTTTTCTCTTTTTAATTAATTAAATACACTATTTAATAATCTTTTAGTTATTGTAGATTAGTGTTTTACTATTTCACTATTGCTAGAAATATTTTATATAATAATCCTATTGGTTACTATGATATTGTCAAGATAGTCTAATTATATTCTTGTCAATGCTTTGTTTATAGTGTATACTAGTATTATTCATTTGTATTATAATAGTTATAATTAATATAATATAGTTATATAGTTGGTTAAATTAGAGTTTAATAGTTAATTATGATTAGAATTATGTATTAATTAGTTTGGTAGTTATTTAAAAATTATTTGCTTTATATATAATTTGTAATTATTAAAAAATATTAATATAAAACAGCATATTAATATAGCATTTACTTGTTATTTAACACAATCATTAAATAAATGAATGCTTATTGTTGTTTAATATAGAATTGTAAATTATTTAATAGTAAGTATTAAATAATAAAATATTTAGTCTTGTTTAACATAGATTAATTATATTATTTAACTATGAATATTAAATAATGCATATAATAGTGTAGAATAATATCTTCAAAACTTCCTAATATAATCAATCTCTAGTTAATTTATAGATTACCAATTAATTAATATATTAATTAAATACAGAACTTTGTTAATACTTAATTAATATATTAAATAGATACAGAATTTTTATTAATACAAAAACATTTTCTCTATTAATACAAATTGAGAATAAAATAGTATAAAAGAAAAATATATCAAGATTGTAGTATCTTAGTGAAGTAGTCTAGTCATCACCCCACCAAGCAGTAGATACAAAGTTTGAATCTCACAGACAATATTTTCAAAAAATAAACTTGTGATATAGCAACGATTAGCACCGATTAGTTGTGTTCTAGAACCTGTAATCTTGGTAATACCATGTTTACATAGGAGCTTCAGTGTATAAAAGACCAAGAAACTAGATAATTTAACCCTGTTTGGAAAGTTCTAAGTAGAAAAATAGTAGTGATCTTCAATAGTGCTATAAGAAAACTGAATTTAGAACTGGAGACTGAGACTGGAGAACTAAGTGACCAGGTTCTTAAGTGGAATAACACACTAGCCAAATTGCTAGCTTACTACCAGAAAAAAAGACTTGTACTCTGGAAGCATATACCAAAAGAAGAGAGACCATAAAGCACCTAATGTCTAGACAGACCAACTTTTCTGAGTTGCTGGCTAGAAGTAAGAGAGGGACTGATAAGAAATCTAAGAAAGAAAAAAGGTAAAATGTGGATACCGGGGTTGTTGTGAACCTTGCAAGAGCAAGAAGTACATAATGGGAAACTAATTAGAAAGATTGTAGCTTGAGATATGGATCAGGTTACAGCAGTATCCAATAAGATAGCTTGAGACACTAATCCAGTGGTGGCAGCATAACAGATACTAATTATTAAAAAATTACCAAACATGCAGATAAGTACATGTGTAGGACATGTACTATTCTGTTAGGTTTACTACATAGATAAATGCCCCTCAAGGAAACTAGGCTAACTGGAGGCTAAAGTCTTAGGGTCTTTAATGGCAAATTATTCCAAAAGGATATATTAGAAAGAACATAGTGCAGGGGTTGAAGCCAGAGAGTTTAAATAGATAGCTTTCTAGTTAGACTATAGGTATGGTAGCTAGTGTAAAATTTTAAAACAGACTACTTAAATTAGATAACCAAAAGTTGTACGTATAGCTAGTTGTACTCTTGTAATACTACTGTAATATATCGTTGGTCTACTTGACAAATGAACCTATTAATACTAATAAAGTGTCAAGGGCCTAAGTGGTCACTTTAATATTTTTTTAAAAAAAATTGAAAATATATCACAGTGATATAAAATTTAGCTAATTGTAAATTTCTAATTAATTATATATTCAATACAATAAACAATATTATTACTTGCAATCTTAATTGCTACTAAATTTGTGTGACATAATATCTCTTATTTTTCTATTTAAAGCTGACTAGATAAAACTTGTTAGTTTTAGAAGGCTAGATAAGATCTATATTAGTTTGAAGAGTTTATTAGTAAGTTAATTTAAAATAATAAAAGAATAAATAATAGCTAGTTGAAAGAATATTTAGATAAAATAGTAGTATAGAAATAAAAATAAAAGTAAAAATAAAAATAAAAAAATAAAAAAATAGCATTGTAAATTAAAGCAGAGAGTTAGTTTAAAAAAAGCTGTAAAAATTGTGTGGTTTTGAAGGTACTATTTAGAAATATAAGAATCTATCTTATTGTTAAATTGAGATAGTAATTTGGAGTAAGAAGAGATTGATATATAAAATGTTTTATTTTGTTTAATTTTAAAATTAATACCACGAGCTAATTTCTATTTGTATTGTAATTCATTTCTTATTGGCCATATATTATTTGAAAACCATTCTAAGAGATTATTAGAGAGTTAAGTGATAAAGTTTGCTGTATTACTTATTAGGTTTTGATGAAGTGGTTTAAATATACTTGGTATAATTGTTTCTTGAATTAATAGTAGTATTAGAAAAGCAGGTTGGTAGGGAGGTTTAGGAATTATTTTAAGTAAAGTTTGGGCAGATATGTTTTCAATTTGTAGTTTTTATTTAATTAGAAATATGTTATTTAAGAGGATCTGAGAGTTGTGTCGTATCGACTGATTCGCGAAATTGGTCTAAATAAAGATGTTCTCAAGCAACTCCCTCAATGTGAGATGATGCTCAATTATTACAATTAATCGAAATTGTTGTTTGAGCATGCTATCCTTGGTTTACTTCAGTATTTGTTCGGTCTTCAGCAAAATAGTAGGAAAAAAAAAAACGATTATCTAACCAACAAATGTAACTCCTTTGGCAACTCCAAGTGCCCAATTTCTTCTTTTCAGACTTTACGATCATATATTGTTTACAGCATAATATTCACAGCTTTTTGCCCTTTATGCCAGACCAATTTGATTCTCTGTTTTACATTACTTCCCCCTCCCCTCCTTCACAGTAGAAACAATTAAAAAGATTTTTTGAGTATAAATAATTATAAACTGGTAACAACCGTGAATTTCTGATGTAGAAAGTGAGCAAACCTAAAATACGAGCATAATCGAGCAAAAATTTGGGAAAAAGGTCCGGGAATCCCGAAATAGAAAAATTAGGTTTAAAAGATAAGGCAAAAAAATTTCTATATATATAATACGTTTAAACCCACCCCACCCCAGAAGGTAGAGGGTGTAATGTAAAACAAAAAATTAAATTGGTCCGGTCCGGCCTTTGAATAAAACCTACGCCGAAACAACAAAGCATTTGGATATTAAAAAATTTCGATAAAAAAATAAATGAATATAATTATTTTTGATGTAAAGTTGGAAATAACAATTGTTAGCAAGTTTTGCTTTTGAGTTTCCGGAATTTTTATTAACGATAAGTGTTTCGAATATAACAATAATATTTTGACGATTATATTTCGCTAAATATTCATGTCGTAAAGCAAAGTGCTTGAACAACCTCTTTTATACTCTTTTAATAAGATCCTTTAGCTAATAAACGATAACTCTATGAAAAAAAAGTGGTCTGCACCTCCAGAATTTTTTCAATCAATCAGTTTTTTTCGATTCGACTATTTAAAATTTTATTTCCGATCAATTGTTTTAGATGCTTAAGAGCACCCTAAGGATCTCTGGATTTGACGATTACAGGTAGTGCACAGCAAAATCAAACAAAACTTGAAAATCAAATTTTTGTTTGATTTTGCCGTGCATTAATTACAGGTGCATAATAATAATAGCTTAAAATTTGGGTCTGTTTTATCTTTACCGAAATTTAACCAATCAAAAATTGATTATGTAAGTACCGAAAATCGGCGCTCTAAGGCTAATAAATTGGTTCTCATAACCCGGCCGAGTCAAATATTGCAAAATTTGCAAAACTTTGAAAAAAATTTTAACTATATTTATTACCCGGGTGAGATGAGAACCAAAAAATTAACTTTGTATGGCCTAATATAGATTTGATGTTTTTTATGTCCAGTATTGCACTAAGTTTTTTATGTAGTAACTTTAATTTTAAGAAATAAATAAATTTACAATTCTCTTTAATGTATATTTAGCAGTTAATTTAACCTAATCATGAAAATTATACAATATCGCTATATACTATATTAATTTTTGTCCTACCTTTGTACGTATATCCATTGAGATTTTGACCAGATTAGGTTGTAAGATTACTGTATCGTTAACCTTTAATGAGTGAATTAAACATTTCTACGTTACACAATCAAATGTGAGAACGGAATGACAAACCAGAACTACAGAACTATATGCTAATATAAAAAGGCTCAAAAAAAGTAGAAAAATCGAAATTACTAAATAATAAAAAGGCTACTTTCAATTGTAATGGATTGTATGTTTCATCATCATATTTTAAATCAAATGGTATTAGTATCTTTAAAATTTTAATTAAATTTATGCATTTGTAGATGAAGCTATTGCAAGCACGATTATGCCCAATCTAGGGCATAAGATTAAAGATTTCCAATATTACACATGGAACGTCACTAATTGGAATAATTTGCCAGAAAAATTAATGGGTCCTGAGTTTGAAGCTGGAGGTTTGAAATGGTGAGTTCAATTCACTAGTGTTACTAGTGTTCATAAACTAGTGACTAACATATAAATTAAATTCATAAATTTAGGCAAATCTTACTTTTTCCATTCGGAAACAGTAATAAAAGTAAAGTTTCCATTTTCTTGAAGTTCGTTGAACAGCAGGGTGAAAGTGCAGGTTGGCATGCCTGTGTGCAGTTCGCATTGCTTTTATGGAATTCAGAAGAACCGACGAAATATGTCGGCTATCGTAGGTATTATTACAATTTGATTTTTGTTTTCTTAATTATCACAAGACATATTGATAATGTTCGTTTCTTAAATAGCCGCTTATAATCGTTTTGATGCAAAATATTCCGATTGGGGCTTTGGGAGTTTTTATGACCGAAGCAAACTATTTATTCCGTTTAATAATCGGACCTGTCCACTAATTGAAAATGGTTCCTGCAAAATTACAGCTCTCGTCCGTGTTCTAAAAGATCCAACTGGTACACTCTGGTCTGATAGAAACATGGGGCACATAGGCTTAAAGAGCCAAAGAACAAATACTTTCCTTAATTCTGTGGTACTATCATTATACTACATAAGATATTTTCGAAGGGTTAGTTTATTTATTATTTTTTTAAAAAAAAAAATTTAAAATACAACAGAAAATCATATTAATTTTAATTTAGGCTGTATATATGATCTCTAAAGAAGGAGATATACCAGCAAGAAGCATTGCATCAGCTTTACAAAGAGTGTTTTATCAATTGAATATTTCAGCATCTTAGCAACGTTTTGTAGATTAATGAAGAAAAACGCTTTACTTGTAGGCCATAACCTTCCGCATTGTATTTATTGTCCTCCTCTAAAATTTTTTCTTGTACATATTCAGTAAAAGAATCATC